TTACAGTGTATGGACAGAGAAGAAACCTCTGTTTCTCAGAAACCATGGCAAACATCTGCTTCATGGTCTCCTGCTGGGTTATGTTCCCATCTATTTTAGCCAACCATAGGAGCCAGGAGTAGCCAATTTTGTGTGTGGGAAATTATGGTCATTTTGATTTCGGAATGATTAGTTAAACCATCCAACATACATTAGAACTAATAATACTCCATGATGCTTAAGCTATTCCAAGCCTATTTGGGGGTTTTAGTTGGGGATAAATGAGATGGGATGAATACCACCAAAACCAGCTGGAAGAGTGAGTTATCCAAAGGAAGAGTGGATGGATATTGTCAAAAGAAGGGGCTAACCAGACAACTCTTCACCGTAGAAGGTATCAGAGTCTTTGGGTCATAATCCAACAATTGTTTCTGGAAAAAAATATTTTTCCCCATAAGCAGGAAGGAGCTTCTCAAGGGAAGGTGGAGCCCTAGCCTCATTTGTCTCTTACTAGTCAGCCTGGATAAGCTGGGTGTGGTGGCGTCTTGAAAACCCAGTGCTTGGGATGTATAGGCCGGAGAATCACTTCAAGTTCAAGACTTGCCTTGTCTGCACAGAAAGTGCCAGGCCAGCCAGGACTGCATATGTGAACAAGTAGTCACCACACCTGAGAACCAGGTCATGGAGGCTAGCTGAAGAGCCCCAGTGGGAGATTTGGGTCTCCACAGGCTGGTTTACTAAACTGGGTAGCAGCAGGTTCATGCCATCACAGTTCTCTCTCTCTCTCTCTCTCTCTCTCTCTCTCTCTCTCTCTCGGTTTTTCAAGACAGGGTTTCTCTGTGTAGCTGTGGATCCTATCCTGGCACTCGCTCTGGAGACAGGTTGGCCTCGAACTCACAGAGATCCACCTGCCTCCTGAGTGCTGGGATTAAAGGCATGCACCAATGCTCAGCTCACAGATCTCTCTTTAATGTCACTCGGTGACACCTCATCAGTTCCCATGAGATAAACATCTACGAAGCATTTGAAGGACAAGCATTTAAAAATTGTTTTGTGGTAAATTGTGGTTATCTTAATTTTTAAATGATTGGTTCAGCCAGCATGGGAGGTGTGTGTGTGTGTGTGTGTGTGTGTGTGTGTGTGTGTGTGCATGTATATATAGAAAGAGAGTGATGACATCATTTTTAAATATTATGAAAGAAAGCTGAAAGCATGCCTAGTGAATAAAATTTGGCCATTTTCATGTTCATCTTGTTTCCAAGATTTTGCAATAGTGTGGCATCCATTTAAATAATAAGTATGTTATACGTTTCAGTGTGTGGTAACAAGAAGAAATGACTTCATAGCCACTTGGTCTGCTCTGTTGTGGTTTATGATGCCATCTGGATTCTCTGGTGGAATTATTTTCCATCTGAATCACTGTAAACTTCTATTTGGTTTTCACAAATCTGAAGCCAGATCTGTTTGTGGTTTTTAGCAGTGATGTAATTCTGGAACACACTGTGACTGTTAAAAGTTGTCATATACCATCAGCATTTAACACAGTGTTTCACATAATTTCAGACAAGTTAGAAGCCTGACAAAAAATCCACTTCCCTGCCTGAAGGTTTTACAGTGTTTCCTCCTGTCTGCCTTGCCACTCACATTTGATCCTATGTCAGCTGAGAGGTTCTGGAGAGCTCTACCCCTCAGTTAGGAGACTGAAATACAATGTTTCGGTGATGTACGCTTTTTTTCCCCCTGTGTGGTAGAGAAGGAGAACAAATCTCACTCCCTTGGCTGACAGTGTAAAAGTGAGTGGATTATATTTCAAAGCATATCCATATTTGGGATGTACACAGTGAACTGCTTAGAAGAAATGAGGCAGCTAAGTTCTTCGTTTCTCAGATCCCTTTAGCCCAGCCAGGAGCAATACCAAAATTGCAGCAGTTTCTTGCAGGAACCAGGGAGCTTGAGAGCCTATAAAGAAGTCTGAAGATTTCAAGGTCCTGTGTTCTTATTCTTCATTTCTCCCCAAAGCCTTAGTGGTTTGAGGGTGGGGTGTGTCACTGATGACATTGGTAACCTCAATTCACAGTGCAGGACTGACACAGGATAGAGACAGGAGGAGCATAGTTCTCACAAGAGCCAGAGAGAAAGTGAGATTTGTGGGCTCATGTCAGTCTATAAATATAAAGTGAGTTGAAAACAAAGAAGCCCATGGTGGTGGCATACACCTTTGATCCCAGTACTTGGGAGGCAGAGGCTAGGGGATCTCTAAGTTCAAGGCCAGCCTGGTCTGCACAGTGAGTTCCAGGACAGCCAAAGCTATTGCAGAGAAACCCTGAATCAAAAATCGAAAACAGAAGAAAAAGAAGAGGAGGAGGAAGAGGAGGAGGAGGAGGAAGACAAAGAAGAAGAAGAAGAAGAAAGAAGAAGAAGAAGAAGAAGAAGAAGAAGAAGAAGAAGAAGAAGAAGAAGAAGAAGAGAGACAAAGAAAAGGAAACTGGTCACAGGACAGGTACTACAGAGAGTAACCTCCATATGAAGATGGTATAGTTCCTAAAGTACTAGGAAGGTGTTATTAAAGTCTCTTTAGTGAGTCACAGAGATCCGGGAAACACCATCAAAGAACTACTCCACATATATCAGGACACATGGAAAGCCTGGGTCCCGGTCCTCACATTGTCACCTTGAGAAATGTAGATTGCTCTAATGTATAGTGAGGACTTTGGATTTGTTGGTCTCCTCAGCCCTGAGATAGGAAGAGCCAGTCTGTGTGGTGCATAGACCACAGACTGAACATCTGGCAACTGCAATGATAGCTTTCTGTATGTGTGGTAGAACTCTGTCCTCTGGTACAACATGGCCATTGTCCTCTTGAACTCTCAGTATTGTCATTATCCACAGGAGAGCTGCACAGGGATGAATCTGCTATCATCAGGTCCTGGAGGGAGGAAAGGGCTCTGGAGGCAGCACACACAGTGTGAGGCTTCCCGTTCCCTAAGGACATAGAAGAAGGTGAGGAGATGTTTTCTTCAATGATGCCTTTGCTGCAGTAGATGGCCTTCAGATAGCTCAGTTACACCCATTAGTTCACCAAACTAAACTTGGGTGGAGTAGTTTCTTCGAACTGTCATTGGCACTCTATCTGGAGTAGAAAATGACTCTCCAGGAAAAGTCCATGCCATAATATGGCAAATGTTTGCCAAGTATTTAAAATATGGGAGATACCAGATGAGGCCCTGGTATTACAGCAGTTGGAAAAAAAGAAAATCCTCTCAAGTTGCGAAATTCTGGTGAGAGTGGCAGAAAATCAAATATGTAAATCAACAAATTAAGTTGGGGTACTAATAACTTGTGTGAAGGTAATAAAGCAGGACATTGGCAGAGGGGGTGCTATCTGTCCTCTGAACAGATAGTGTTCAATTGAGAACTAATCTGAAGGACAGAGCTAACTGTGAGACTGGCTGGGGGACAGGCCTGACAGGGTGAGTTGAGGCAGAAGAGGTCTTCAGGAGGGAAGCTGGACACACTGAGAGAACAGATAGACTGTGGCTTACTGAGCTAGCAAGGAGGAACTAGAGACAGACTGATACCAGATTATACGGGAGCCTGGGAACAGCTGCAAGGAGCTTGGCCTTTATCTGTCTCACTCGCAGGATAGCCTGTGGACCATTTTAAGCAGGGAAAGGAAAGGACCTGCTTTACATTATCAAAAGATGAGTCTTGGTGATTCTGTAGAGAGTAAATTATAGCAAGATAAAAGAAGGGAAGAGACCCGTTAAAAAGCAGTTGGTAGCAGCAGCCAAGGTGAAAGATGGCGATGACTAGGGCCATGGAGTAGCAGAGACATTTGGAATCAACAAATGGCTACGGGAATACAGAATGAGGTTTCTGGAAATACACATGGGGCTGCCCCCTCCTTCCATGTGTCCCCGCCAATCCCAACATAAATCTTCATTTCTATGCAGGAAACTCATGATAGGTCTTACTGTTCATGGTTTTTATTTCTGTCCAGAGAAGGGATTTGGGCTCTGTGTTATTACTTGACTTATTCGTTTTTCAGTTAATAATTCCTAACAGTGAGGCAAGTGCACAAGCTTACATCTTGGTTCCTTGGATACTGCTCTCTGTGCCTGTATTCTGCCTCACACAAAGGAGGTCATTCTTTAAGAACTGTGTGCACTGCTGGGTTCCACACCACTGACCTGCACTGCCGATGAAGTACATCTGAAGTTTAATACTGCAACTTCATTCCCCCCCCCAGGCCAAAGACAGCTTATGACTGTCCATTTTGCTTATGATTTAAAGGGGTGCGTGCATGGGTACTCTTGAGCATGTGGGCGTCAGAGTGCAACTGTGCAGAGTCTCTTCTCTCCTTCCACTTGGCCGGGGTTCTGGGAATAAACTCAGGTCACCAAGGCTTGCATTAGTGTCCACTAATACAGCAGTTGTATCAATGTATTCACACAGGCAATGTGTTTCTATTTCTCTACACCCTCAACACTGGGTGTCTATAATTACTGTTCAATAAGTACTTGAAAAATTACTGTCTTTCCTTGTGTTTCATTGTTAACTGCCTGTTCATGTCTGCAGGCTCTGTGTTTCTTCTATTTGAAATTCTCTGTCCCTCTTCTTTGGCTATCTTGGTATGAGATTGCTTCATCTATTGGTTTATCGGATCTCTTCCTATGTATCAGCATGTTATACTATGCCTGTGATGTACCTTATGGAAAATCTCTCCCACCATATTGCCGAAACTAACTTTGCTTAAAAGTAATTTAAAATTTTAATTTAATTTAAATTTTTTAATTTATAACATTTAATTTAAAATGTTTAATTTAAATTTAAAAATTGCATTTTGAGACCTCTTCGTCATAATACAGTGGTATAAGGTTGGATGAAGCATGTAATAGGCTTTGCACCTCTTTTAAAGCAGTTAAGAGGAGAATTAAAAATGAATAAGAATACAGGTGGTAACTCTGTCTAACTTGAGTATTAGCTATTTGTTCATTTCAGTCTCTGCTGTTTCCTTCTAGCACTGCCTTCACCGAATTCCAAGAAGCCGGGAAGTGCGGCAGTCCTGGCTCTCCTCGGTGTTCACCACCTTGCACTCCATGTGGTTTTCCTTTCCCCTGGTTTACCATCTGAAGCCAGATTTGGTATGTAAGCCTGTCCCTTAGGACAGTAACTCTCCTATTGCTTGTCCACTGATAGGAAGATCTATTGTTTTATTCAGCAGCTACAGTTTATCACTGGGCTTTTTAGAGATACATAAAATGCATAGTTTATATGCACTGTGCTGAAAGAGGTGACAAGTTTGCCTTCCTAGCTACAGTTTAACTCAGAGTTTGTCCTGCTCTTTCTTTTATAATGGCAAGTGCCAACAGTGTCTTTAACTAATGCTTGTGGCCGCTCACTGTGGTTCCTAACCAGCGCCATGTGTGAGAGAGCCACCAGATAGTTGATTCTCTTTCAATAGTCTTTCTGGTATTTGGTAAGACTTTTTACCAAATATGGTATGTGGCAGTTGGCATTTCATATATATATTCAAGTTTTCATAGGAAAGGAGGACAGAGGATAGAAAGACGAATGCTAAACACATTCTTGTATCACTGCATTCTCTGTGTCTGTAAAAGTCTTGCACCCTAGTGCAGTCTTTGTGGTAAAGTTACAGGATTCATGGCAAATGTGCAGAGGAGAGAGCTCGGATCAGTGGGTGTGTACCGCAGTGCTGACCATGTCAAATTATGCTCGTTCCTGTGGACAGTGGAATCCATTAGCTGCTGAAGCCTGAAAGGAAACTACTTGATTCCCAGATTTAGGAGTCCCGGCAAGTATAGATTATTCTCATGAATAACTGAGGCAAAGTGTGTTTAGCTACAGTGGTTTAGAAAGTTCTCTATTAGTTGCCCTTCATCAGCCAGATTGAAGTTCAAACTCTCATTCTGGAGGGCAGTTTAAAACCCTGTATTTTATACATAGATGGTTCTCTATGGGGTTTTTGTTGTTGTCATTTTGTTTGTTTTAAATTTTTTTCAAGACAGGGTTTCTCTGGGTGACTTTGTAGAACAGGCTGGCCTTGAACTCACAGAGATCCGACTGCCTCTGCCTCCTTAGTGCTGAGATTAAAGGCGTGTTCCGCCGCCACCACCACCGGGCTCTATGAGTTTTTTTTTTTTTTTTTTTTTTTTTTAATGGCATTTACATACCATAAAATGCACAGCTCTTAAGAGTATAGTTTGGCCACATCCCTAGTAAGATAGAAACTTCCCTCCATCTCAGAGCGTTTTCCCTGGCCTCTTCCGTCAACCTAAGCCCCCAAGAAATCACTGTTATTTTCTGATTTAACCATCCTAGATTAGTTTTATAAATGTTTATTTTTTTGAGTTTATTTTTATTTTATGTGTATGGGTATTTTGCCTGCATGTATGTTTTTGTATCACATGTGTGCCTAGTGCCCATGGAGGCATGAAAATTCACCAGATTCCCGGGGAATCAAGTTACAGAGGGTCATTAGCTTCCATGTGGGTGCTGAGAATTGAACCCAGATCCTCTGGAAGAGCAGCCAGTACCATTAACCACTGAGCAAATCTCCCCAACCCCCTCAAATTTTTGTTAAAGTTGAACTCACAGTCTACAACTACATTGTTTAGATGTAGTTGTCAAATATCCTAAAGATTATTGTTGGCTTCAAATGCTTGATTTATTTTTAAACAAGAGACAAGTAGGAAAGGGAAGGTCATTTTGTTTATTTTATTTTGAGAAGTGTTAAGTATTCTTTATTTGATATTGTGCATTAACCACACTACAGTACTTTTTAGCAGCAGCCTCATCAGATAACAGGGAATTCTATTAAATTGGCTACGTCAAGAACAGTGTAGACACCTGCTTCCTTGTCTTTAATCATGGCCTATAACAGGATAGTGTATAAAATTGAAATGGGTGAGTCATGCTTTGTTCTGACAGGGAGGAGATTTTTTTCCCAGTGTGAAAACATACTCACTTAACCAATTATGTAATCTAAGTATAAAGCCATTCTTTGGAGCTGGAGAGATGGTTCAGTGGTTAGAGCACTAACTGCTTTCCAGAGGACCAGAGGCTGATTCCCGTACCCACAAGGTGGCTTAGAACCATCTGTAACTCCAGACCCAGGGCATCTGATGCTCTCTTCGGGCTTCTTCAGGCACCAGGCATGCACACAGTACACAGACATATACATTAAATTAAATTGAGTAGATTTCAAGGTGGCATTCCTTATCTCTGTGAAAAGTTGAGCATTACTAATTAGATCCAATCATATCTTTATTTTTACAATTTATTTAATGTGTATGGGTATTTTGTCTGCACACCAGAAGAACACATCCAGATTCCATGGAACTACAGTTACGGCTGGCTGTGAACCACCAAGTAGATGCTAGGAATTGAACTCCAGACCTCTGGAAGAGTAGCTACTGCTCTTAACTACTGAGCCATCTCTCCAGCCCCCCATCATATCTTTAAATGGGGTGGGGGGGGGGACAGAGATAGTAATAACATTTAGTAAACTGAAACTTCTACTAAAAAAAAATGATCGTATTGGGCTGGGCATGGTCATGCTCAGCTTTAATCCTGGCACTTGGGGAGCTAAGGTAGGAGGATCTCTGTGAGTTCGAGGCCAGCTGGTGTATATATCAAGTTCCAGGACATCCATGAATATAGAGAAAGACCCTGTTTCAAAAACCAAACAAATAAACAACCAAAGAGATCATATTCACTTTACTATAATCTAGTTTTATTTTAATCAGGACTGGTTGTGTAGCAAAATATTGTTACCTTTCATATTCAGGCTTCTGGTTTAGTCCTGGTACATATCGAAAGCCACGAGACACATGGGCTCTCACTGGTTAGCAGCCCCTTTAATAGAAACGGTTAAGTCTGCCCTTTCTCCCTTCTTAGTCCCAGCGAAGATGGCTTTTGTTCCAGGGATGTCCTTTTGGAGTGTTCTCTAAATATGCCATCTGTGTAGCCTCTCTCCAGGTGATGCCTAAGTTATTGGCATTTGCATAAGAGTCCTGGTGTGTCTTCATCCCACACAGGCCATGCAGATTTGGTCCTGTCTTCCACTTGCCTGCATTTTCCACAGTGTGGCACTGAGTGCACTTTGGAGCAAAAATCTCCACGCCTTTCCCAGTATTTCCCATTTATAATGCATTCTTCCATTACTCAGCCAGTTGGAGCTCAGCAACAGCAGAACTCAGAAGGAAATGATAAAGTGGCGGGTAATGTCTGCTATGGATGCAAAAGAGCTCAGTGTCTCCCTGGCCTGGGTTTTGTTTGGGGATGGAGGCCAGCTCCTGAGGAATGCTAGGCATGTGTTGTTCCTGATCTCCAGTAGTATACCTTGTGGGTGGTGGGACACTTGGTCCCAGGCCCATTTTGCCTCTTACTTTATTGCGTTCAGTTCCCTTTGAGGTCTTATTCACCATGGGCTAGCTATCTTCTCTATTTCCTTCTTTCTTTCTTTTAATAATTTATTTTTATTTTATGTGCATTGATATTTTGCCTGCATATATGTCTGTGTGAGGATGCCAGATCTGCTGGACCTGGAGTAACAGACAGCTGTGAGCTACCATGTGGTTGCTGGGAATTGAACTTGGGTCCTCTGGAAGAGAAGCCAGTGCTCTTAACCTCTGAGCCATCTCTCCAGCCCTTCCATTTCTTTCTTAATTAGTCTAAAGTTTCATCAGTGCTATAAAATCGATTTAAAAAGTGTGTGGGGGGGTATTCTCATGTTTGTGAGGAGTAAGAGAGGAGGGAGGTAGAGTACGTAGAAATACTTCTTCCACTTTTTAAGTGAGTTTTAAGAGTCACATCAAGCCTGAACATTGTTTGGCAGGTACTTTGATCTTGTCACCGTCACCAAATGAGCCTCCACTTCAGGAGACCCCGCTACACTGACAGGAAAACAACAGCACAAAAATCTGGCCTGTATTCATCCACAGTCCACTGAATGTATGTATAAGTCTTTCCCCAGTTCAGATGTTGTAGTACCTGCAGGACTGAATACTTGGTGTTCCCATGAGCCCAAAGTAGAGTTTTATAAAAACATAGTGACTAGAGAGGAGTGCTGTGTGGTAGCTGTAATGGTACTGTATTGGGTAGTCACACGGTTATTGTGAAGCTAGAACCTGCACTAACATCAGGAACAATTGAAGCCAGTGTGGTCAGATTTAGAGAGATCCCACAGCCATGCCTGCCCACACATGGTGGGAAAGCACATTTGTTTACTGAGAGCCTTGCTATGCTAACAGTTCCACCAAGGTGCTTGAATTCCCAATTGCACCAGATACCGATGGCTGCAAACTTCCTAGATTACTAAATAAAATAAATTATAGCAAACTCTTAATTCTCTGTTATTTAATACCTGTAGTTAGCAAGTTTTTGTGTGTGTGTGTGTGTGTGTGTGTGTGTGTGTTGTGTGTGTGTGTGTATAGTGTGTTGCTAGACTCTAAAGTTAACTGTGAAGTAGATGATCTTCTCTTGCTTTGTGTAGAAATCAGAGTTGAAATGTGTATGCTACATCAGTGAACAGGTTGTTTTTACAAACCGCGAAATGAACATTTAAGCCATTTCATGGGTGGCTTTGCTTTATCCTCTGGATTTGACTTTTTAAATTATAGCAAAGATAATGTGTTCAAAGATAATGTGCTCATTGCTACAATTTAAGATCTTCTCTTAAAATAAATTTTGGAAGATTTTCCTGGGTATGTATTTTGGAATAGTTTGAACAGTAGCCAGGTGGCACCAAGTAAACTATATATGGCTCAGCAGTAAGAACATTGGTTTCCCTTCTCAAGGACTAGGGTTCCATTCCCAGTACCCACATGATGGCTCACAATCATCTGTAACTCCTCCCCTGACCGCCTCAGTCATGCAAGTGGTGCACAGAGATACATGCCAGCAAAACACTCAAAGACAGGTAAAACTAAAATTAAACTTTTTAAAAAAAATATGTGACTTAGCCAGGCATTGGTAGCACATGCCTTTAATTCCAGCACTCAGGAGGCAGAGACTGGTCTACAGAGTGAGTTCCAGGACAGCCAGGGCTGTTACACAGAGAAACCCTGTCTCTAAAACAAAACAAAAAGATTATATGACTTAAGCGGTAGTTCTCAACCTT